AGAGGAAAATGAAGCAATAGGGCCTGAGATGGTTGGGCTAGAAGGAGTTTGTGGTAGCGAATGTTCAGGAGTGGCCAGTTGAGTAAACTGTTTGCTTATAGCTGCCAATTTGTCAGTGAAGAATGAGGCAAAGGTGTCAGCGGATAGATTGTTGGTAGGAGGTGGAGAAGGAAGGTTGAGCAGAGTTTTGAATGTCGAAAATAGTTTCTGAGAGTTAGTAGAGCTGAGAATTTTGTCAGTGTAGAAACCTTTCTTTGTATCAGTGATGCTGGCAGAGAATGAGGACAGTAATTCATGAAATTTCAGTTGATCACCAGGATCTTTTGTTTTGCGCCATATCCATTCCGCGGCTCTAAGATTGGTGCGTAGAGACCGGAGGGTATCATTTAGCCAAGGGTGTGACTGAGAGGATCTAGTGGCCAAAGGGCACAAGTTGTTAAGACAAGAGCAGAGTGATTCTGTGGCATCATTCACTTCATAAGCAGAGAATGTGCTGGGAGATGAAAGAGTGGAGGCAACAAGAGAGGAGAAGTGGTTGGGTGCCAGATTGCGGAGGTTGCGGCAGAATGAGACTATTGGGGAGGAAGCAGTGGACCTCCCTTGTAGAGTCGTGCTGAAATGGATGAAGTAATGATCGGAAAGATGCAGCGGTGTGACAGAGATTGTGTCTATGGCACAGTTTCTGGTGAAAATGAGGTCAAGTGCTTTTCCAGCTTTGTGAGTTGGAGGGCTTTGTACTAGTTTTAGATCAAATGATGACATTAATGACAGGAAGCCTGATGAGCTGGGATTGTCCAGGTGAATACTCATGTCTCCAAGGACCATTGTGGGACAGTCGTGCTCAGGAATGGAGGAGAGCAGGGTGTCGAGTTCATCAAGAACACATTGTGTGTGATCAGATGTCTCTGTAGGAGCTTTCTGAGCTGAAGAGGATATGAAGTTCTGGACTTTTCCTCAGACAGGCTCGTGGATGCGTCACCACATTGGAGACAGGAACAAGCGCTATTCAGCCAAAGTTTAACCATCAGGAACATTTTCTAAGTGACACGTCTCTCTGAGAGACAGGGCTTGGACAACACTCGCTTCAGTGGGAGGAATCTTCCCGTATGGTTCTGCGATATGCTCCATGTCCATCTCCACATCTTCAGCTTGCTGTGAAGAGCAGTGTTCAGCTCGGATGTTCTGATGGGAATCTTTTCTTGATTGATTTAGCTACCTCCGCGATGTGTGTTACAATTTAAATGTCAGCGCATCTGCACGCGTTGGGGTAATTCTTTCTATTCTATCTCCATCAAAATAAACAGTCAAATACAGTAAATATCTGGTCAAAACGAACCCTTTCATTTAACTACTCTTTCTTCTTATGAAGACTGCTGCAAACAAACAGCAAACAAGAGCCATGCGCCTTTATCTCTGTCACTGTAAATGAAGGAAAAAACTAATGGGTCGGATCGTTTTCAACATAACTATGTTGAAAACGATCCAAAATGTAAAGTTTGGTTCAGTGCAAAGTTTAATCATGATGGTTCTTTGAGCCGCTAAAATCACTGCGCTGAAAGGTCTGGTTGGTTCCCCATAGCATGGTCATTTAGCACGAGCTGTAAGCTTTGGATGAACTGGGAGCTCTGGCTGGAACTGGGAACGTAGGAAGTGATTCACTTTGAATGAATTGGTTGTTTATAAACTTTGACCTACCAGATCTGAGATGTGTGTCTAGGTGTTTACCTCGACGATCAGCCACTCAGAAGAGGCTGGTTCCACTTAATGTGAAATAAATCTGTTAAACATTCATTTATTAATACACTGATATTATTATGTGAATGTAACTGATCATTAATCATTATTAAATCATCAAGTAGACTCACTTAGTGTATTTAAGATCTGAAATAGGTCATGAAATAATAAACATGTATGTTGATTAATGAATTAATCTTTAAATCACATTAGATAGCACATTGATTGTAGATAACAGAGAATACGATTGTAAACATGTGGATTGAAAGAAATCTTTTTTTTTAGACCAAACTAAGAATCATTTTATTAAAAGGAGTAAAAGTCTCGTCTTCTGCATGGACCTTGGAGGTGCAGCTAAGATTAGGGAGTCAGGAGGAGGAACTTGTAATGGCTACCTTCTGGATGGTGCTGATGGTTCAGCATGGAATGATTTAGGTACAGGGAAGAACACAACGTTCCTAGCCGAGGAACGCTGCAGGACACCCGACTGTCTATTTGACCTCTGACATTTCTCTGGACAAATACCCTTGTTGGCTGTTTCCAGCGTTACACAACAATCCAACGAGCCTGGATTTGTATTCTGAACAGTTTAAACACGGTTCAAATAGAAACATGTGATGTGGTAAAACAAATCGGCACTTGCTCAACTATTTAAATCACTAACGATGAAAAATATCAAAGTATTGTAGGTACAGACAGGCTACAACTTCTGGATTCATTTTATACAAATAGTTTTATTAATTAACTTCTGTTAAAAGATAACTTTGACGTACATGAGTGGCAGCTTTTGGTTGCTGTCATCTTTTGTTATTGGTTAAAGTAAAACACCCAGGTTAGAAATCTTGGTGTTGTCATTGACTCGGACCTGAGCTTCTCTGGACACATTAAGGCTGTAACTAAATCAGCGTTTTATCACCTTCATCAAACATCGAGAGTCAGAGGTCTCGTGTCCAGACCAGACAGAGAAAATCATTCATGCTTTTATTTCTAGTGGGCTGGACTACTGCAATGGTCTCGTAACTGGTCGTCCCAAAAAAGCTGTGGAGCAACTGCAGCTTGTTCAGAACGCTGCTGCTAGAGTCTCAACCAGAACTGAGGCCCTGTCCACACGTAGCCGGGGATCTGCCAAAACGTAGATATTTTTCTACGTTTTGGCCTGTCATCCACACGAAAACGGAGTTTTTTCACACGAAAACGGATCTTTTTAAAAACTCCGGCCAAAGTGAAGATCTGCGTTTTCTCCGTTTTGGGTGTCTGCGTGTGGACGGACAAAACCGGAGTTTTAAGGTCCGCAACGTCACTTTCCGCGACAAAAAAATGCTGACATCACGTGTGCGACCTGTGTTTACACTAGCCGACAGCATGGATGCCCTCAGAGCTGCGCTCTGTCACTACCCGATCCATCAATTGTCCAAGCGCTTTCTGCTTGTTTGTTTTTGCAAGTGGAATTACTGCTCCTTGCGGAAGACCACAGACGAAGGACGAGGTTAAAAACGGGGGAAGTACTGCCGCCTACAGGTCTGGCATGTCCTTAACAACGTATTTATCCGGGTACGTGTGGACAGAGTTTGTTTTTTAAACGTGGTGGTGTGGATGCAAGTTTTTGGAGGGGCGGATATTCGTTTTTTAAAAACCCCGGCTACGTGTGGACTAGGCCTAAGAGAACTAAGCACATCACTCCTGTTCTTAGATCCCTACACTGGTTACCAGTGAACTACAGAATAGACCAAAGTGCTCCTACTAGTTTATAAATCACTCAATGGCATGGGACCAGAATACATGTCTGATCTCGTTCCTGTATAAACACCCAGCAGGGCTCTGAGAGGAAATGATCAGCTGGTAGAACCTCGGGTCAGAACCAAACAGGGAGGAGATGCATTTAGTTTCTATGCTGCTCACATATGGAATCAGCTGCCCCATGACCTCAGATCTGCCCCAGCCCTAGTGTTGTTTAAAACACAACTTAAACCCTCATCAGCCTTTACATGAATGGTTTCTTCTGCTGCGTCGTCTCCTCTGTAATCTGTGATGTCATTGCTCACCCTTAATCAGGGTATCTGCAGGTTTAAGGGAGCCAAATTTAAGACTTTTTAAGACCTTTTTTAAGGCCACTTAGACCAAATTTAAGCTCGTTGTCGTCTTCCTCCGCTTATCCAGGTCAGGGTCACGGGGGCAGCATACCAACTAGGGAGCACCAGACCGTGCTCTCCCCGGCCACCTCCACCAGTTCCTCCGGCAGGACTCCAAGGCGTTCCCGGACCAGATTGGTGAAATAACCTCTCCAACGTGTCCTGGGTCGACCTGGGGGCCTCCTGCCAGCAGGACATGCCCGAAACACCTCCCCAGGGAGGTGTCCAGGAGGCATCCTGACCAGATGCCCAAACCACCTCAACTGACTCCTTTCGATCCGGATCCAAATTTAAGCTATTTTTTAAATTAAATTTAAGCTATAATTTCCAGCTATTGCCTGGAACCGGTGCTAACCACGTCGCGAACGTGGGATTAACCATCCATTTACCATTAAACTTGCACTTCTCCATGGCGCAAGCTCCCACTAGCTTAACCAGCTAATGTGCTCATCTAAAAATAGTCCCTTTTCACAACCAACTGAATGTGTACGGTTCCGCTTACGCCACCATCATACACAAAAAATGCTGAAGACTAAATAGAAATTCACGAAAATGTCATAGAAATAAAATAATCTAGTTCATTGGGTCTTTGGTAATTTAAGACCTTTGGAAACTGTATTTAAGGATTATTTGTCATTTTTAAGGATTTTCAAGGCCTTAAATTTGGAAAAGGAAATTTAAGACTTTTTAAGACTTTTTAAGGACCCGCGGATACCCTCTTAATTCTGTCTTTTCCTTTTAGCTCTAAATTATAATTTTGTCTGTATATATTTTTAATTTGTGTTCTCGTGTTTGTTGTTGTGCCATTTCATGATAACTGTAAAGCACTTTGGATTTCCCAGTGTTTGAAATGTGCTCTATAAGTAAAGCTACCTTGCCTACAGCAGCTTACGGAGGGCCTGAGTGCAGGTGGGTGGGCCCAGGCTCGGTAAGCCCACCCACAACGCTGCGGCTGCTGTGGCTTACTGTGGGAAATGGGTAACAATGGCTCTCTGATGGGAGAAGGTTGCTGACCCCTGGCATACGGCAAAGCGGAGTCAATAAAAACTTATATAGCTCCGTTCAGGGTCCCATGAGCCAACCAGAGGGGGCGGAGCCTTGGGCTAGCTCCTTAGAAGAGTTTTAGCAATATCCTACCTGGTGCAGTTTTGCAGCAGCTCTGTTGGAGAACAACACGGCTCTCTCTCGACTGAAACAAACAGGACATAAAGCCAACGCCTCTGTGTAGCTTAGCTCCGCTCCCCTCCAGTCTGCAGGAACAGAAACAGGATCATCCTGGTTTGTTGGACAAGACTAGAGCTGTTCTTAGCTTTGTGAGGGCCCTATGCAAGATGCTGTTCCGGGGCCCTTATCTTGCCAAACCAAAGTTAAACCACCACACATGAGCTTATTTATAAACACACCACAAATCAGTACAAGCAACATAGGGTTTTGTGGTACTGCAATAAACACAAACAACACAGGGTAGTCATGACAACCTCTCATACCAAAAGTAAACATCTCAAGTTTGGTCAAGCACGAGTATTAAAACTAGAAAGTACAGTGGAGGTCTACACACACAGACATATACAGAGACACTGCACAATCTAGGGGTAACGATAGTAAGTGGTTACGTTTAATGAATGATCAAAAAGATGTGATATTCCATATAAATATGATTTATCATTATTATTGATCTTTTGACATTTAAGATAAAACCAGGTCTTTTGCATAGTTCAGGGAAACCACACCTTTGTAATCATTTGACACAGAAGCAAAAATTATAGTTTGTAGAAATCAATTTATTTCTATTTTTCTATCATCAATGATGATGAAAGGTAAATGATTATGAATGGTGATTCACAGTGATGTTAAATGAGACACTGAATGGACTCTGATGAAACATGACCTGGTGTGTTTTAGACTTTCTAAGTAACTCAGAAAGGTGTGATGTTTAACAATTTATCAAATTAGTATTAAATAGATCTATAAGTTTGGGATGTAAGCAGGAAAAGGCCCGGCTGGTGCTGGAGCTGAGGGAATCCGCAGACCCAACTGGTGAGAGCAGCTGGCCCCCAGATACGAACAAGGAGGAAGTGGAAAGCCCCGGAAGAGGTTGATACAGCAATCAGCTGGTTGAAACACCAGGGGTGGACATTAACTTCAAAACCAACCGGCCAGCCGGGCCGGTAACTCTGAATATTTACCGGCCCCGCCAAGAATCTACCGGCCCCGCTGGTCAGCTGCCAAAATGAGTCAAAATAACAACTGAACCGTTTTAAATGTAATAAACCTTTATTTTGTACACATTCACAAACATAACGTATTCAAGTTTGAATTTGTTTGTTTCAGCTTCTCTCTCTCCCTCTCTCTCTCACACACACACACACACACACACACACACACACACACACAGAGAGAGAGAGAGAGAGAGAGAGAGAGAGAGAGAGAGAGAGAGAGAGAGAGAGAGAGAGAGAGAGAGGAAAGGCAGAGAGGAAATGGAGGACACCAAGTAGTTAAAAGAAAAACTACAGCCGAGCCGAGGCGTCTGATCTGAACTGAGGAGCGGCGAGCAGCGGTCGGACTTCGTGAGCGATTCGCTTCTCGGCGCTTCGGGCGCTTCCGCGGCCGGTGTGTCCCCGGCGTTAAACGCCGGCTTTCAGCCACTCCCCCTGCTGCTTCCATCTGCTCTCGTCTGTTTTCCAGGCGAGCCGCTGCTCAACTCGAACACGGCCATTCTCTGCGCCTCCCGTCTTCTTTAAACCTCCAAGAATCATTCCACCTACGCACACGCTTCTCTGCTTCATACCGTTTCGAACTGTCTCGCTTCTCCTCACCAGTTTTAAAGCGTTTTGCCAGAGATTTCATCAAGAAATCCAATCCCTGTGGCGGCGCGATCTTCCTGCGTGCTTGTGTGTTTCTAGCGTGGTTCCACTTAGTCTTTAATAGTGAACTTATAGTTCACGTGACTATAACTAGAATCGTGCAGTACGTGCACGAATCGTACAAGTGCAGTACGTGGCTAGAGGCGCACAGGTTCACGCGCGCGAAACGAAAACGGCAGCTTCCTACAGGGCGGGGCCATGATGCAGGCGAAAGCCGGTGTGTAAATGACAAATAAAGCTTGGGCGCCACCCGGGCGGTAAGTCGTCAAGTATTTACCGCCCGACGAGAAAATTTAGCGCCATTGGCGCTCGGGCGCTTTAACGGTCCACCCCTGAACACCGTGAGGTGGTTGGCAGAGTCCAGGAGGGCGGGCAGGCCTTGGAAGTGGTGAGGCTTTCCTCTTCTGGTCTAAGGCCTCCAAAGAAGACCGAAAAGCTATGGTGGTGGTGGAAATAACAAGGACGGAGCATGAGTGCCTTAATGTCAAAGCAGTGTCTCAGAGCCGGCAGGGAAGCTGGGAAGGCATCACAGACAGGCCCCTGTCATGGTCGGACATTTGAAAGTTCCCCAAGCCAGCCTGAGCTTACTGGTACCAGCGACTTATGGGCCATTGCCATCTGTACCGGGCCGGGTAGCCCCAGTCGGCCCCAGCCTGGCCCGGTTGATTCCACACATCCTTGCCTTAAGCCCATGTGGGCTGATTCTACCCGCCAATCAGAGGCTTGCTCTAATGGAAGGTGTGAATTTGCTGTCAGCAGTGGGTGTGTTGGCCCTGGTCGGCCTGAAGCAGACCCCCTCGAGAAGAGGGCTGAGAATGAGCCTTGGTTGGCCCGGAAAAATACCAGGCCACCCAGATATGTAAACAACCTACGCTATCCGGCCCTGGCCGACCCGGTACAGATGGGAATGGCCCTCCCCTAAAGGATTATTAGGAACACCACACTAATACGGTGTTTGACCCCCTTTGGCCTTCAGAACTGCCTTAATTCTACGTGGCGATGACTCAACAAGGTGCTGAAAGCATTCTTTAGGAATGTTGGCCCACATTGATAGGATAGCATCTTGCAGTTGGAGATGTGTGGGATGCACATCCAGGGCACGAAGCTCCCGTTCCACCACGTCCCAAAGATGCTGGAAGCAGCCATCAGAGGATGGGTACATGGTGGTCATGAAGGGATGGACACGGTCAGAAACAATGCTCAGGTAGCCCGTGGCATTTAAACCATGCCCAGTTGGCACTAAGGGGCCTAAAGTGTGCCAATAAAACATCCCCCACACCATGACACCACCACCACCAGCCTGCACAGTGGTAACAAGGCATGATGGATCCATGTTCTCATTCTGTTTACGCCAAATTCTGACTCTACCATCTGAATATCTCAACAGAAATGGAGACTCATCAGACCAGGCAACACTTTTCCAGTCTTCAAATGTCCAGTTTTGGTGAGCTGGTGCAAGCTGTAGCCTCTTTTTCCTATTTGTAGTGGAGATGAGTGGTACCCGGTGGGGTCTTCTGCTGCTGTAGCCCATCCGCCTCAAGGTTGTGCGTGTTGAAGCTTCACAAATGCTTTGCTGCATTCCTCAGTTGTAACGAGGTTAGGCTCTTCTATCAGCTTGAATCAGTCGGCCCGTTCTCCTGTGACCTCTAGCATCAACAAGGCATTTTGGCCCACAGGACTGCTGCATACTGGATGTTTTTCCCTTTTCACGCCATTCTTTGTAAACCCTAGAAATGGTTGTGGGTGAAAATCCCAGTAACTGACCAGATTGTGAAATACTCAGACCGGCACCAACAACCATGCCACGCTCAGAATAGCTTAAATCGACAGTGTGGGTTGCAGTGATCTTCTGGGCCATTCCCATCTGTACCGGGTCGGCCCGGGCTGGGTAGCGTAGGTTGTTTACATATCTGGGTGGCCTGGTATTTTTCCGGGCCAACCAAGGCTCATTCTCAGCCCTCTTCTCGAGGGGGTCTGCTTCAGGCCGACCAGGGCCAACACACCCACTGCTGACAGCAAATTCACACCTTCCATTAGAGCAAGCCTCTGATTGGTGGGTAGAATCAGCCCACATGGGCTTAAGACAAGGATGTGTGGAATCAACCGGGCCAGGCTGGGGCCGGCTGGTGCTACCCGGCCCGGGCCGACCCGGTACAGATGGGAATGGCCCATTCTAAAACAAGCTATCTGGCCACTGCTACAATAGTTTGTAAAACATTTGTCTTTAAATGAAATCACTTCTCCAATTTTGTGAGTAAATTGTCTAACTTGTTTGCCCAAAGATAAAGTAAACTTTGTAGACGTTGGGTCATAAAGTTCAGCTATCGGCCGCAAATGAGTTAATTAATAATTAAATATGACCGGTGTGACTCTGTGACTTGTTTTGAGATTTGTTGCTTTCTCCAGTTTATTCGTTTATCCAATCTTTGGCAATTCCAACTTCCAAGTAGAAATAATGAACTGGAACACCTTCCCTAAGCCAGAGAATGTTTTTTAAACCAGTTTGAGGTTCAATAAGCAGCTCGTTGTAATAACAATAGTAGCTGTGGTGGAAACTCGTAAGGGTGCATCTAAAATTGATGTTATGTGCATTTGTATATTTTCCAAGGTAAATGGAACACACCATGACATTTGTGCTTCCCAGCATATACATTAAAGAATGGATGCAGCATTGACTGCTATTGGGCGCTGGAGGGCGTAACAGCGTCGCCACTATATTGGATCGGTCTCCTCACACTCCAAAGTCAATGCCGAGTCCATGCAGAGTGAGCAACTATGCCTGTTTTTGTGCAGTCTATGGTTACAACAACTGGCACACAATTGAAAACTGGTCATGTGGGATTGCTAGTGACTTTTCTAGCCTACCTGATAAAATTTTATATTTACATTTATTTTTATTTATTTAGTTTATATATTTATTTTGTAATTATCATGCCATACATTTTTCCTGATTTTTAAAAAAAAAACTTGATATAATGTGATTTTTAGTTGAGTAAGCATTTTCCTCTGTAGAAATTTATTCACTGGGGTCGAATGGAGACCCATCTAAAATGGCGGCTGGCCTCTACGACCTTTAGGTGTCAGGTTCGGTTCCCCTGCTGTCTGCCCCTTTTCCTTTTCTCAGCTTTAGCCGTTCACACATGCCAGAATGAGCACACTCACTGCAACGTTCGTCAGGCAAAATAAGAGCGAGTTCTGTTCGGTTCACAAAAAACTAAAAAAACGTTCACGGACGTTGGTTCAATGAACGCATTAAGGCATAACACTGCCTGTCAGCAGATAGCCCCCATGGACGTCCAATGTGTGACAATGGCATTGACACCAGCGGTCATGTGCCAAAACATAGCCTAAGCTTAATTTATTGCAGCATATTTTGCTTTTATATCCTTAATAAGGTATTTCTAATCATTTAAAGAATATAGGCAACTCATTCTCAGAAGAGGATGTAAACTCTTGTAGACTGCAGGAACTTAGGGGGCCCCTAGTGGACATGTGGGGCCCTACGCCTTTGCGTAGAAGGTGTATAGCAATAAACGGCTCTGAAGACATCCAGCAGAAAACATCTCAACATGTCCAGTTAGGGTTGGAGCATCGAAAGGTCACAAAGCCAGTCCACATCCTCAGATTATAGCCGAACCAGAAGTACCACAAACTCACCTCCAGCTTTGAACTGACTGTTTCCCGTCTCTTTCAGAGTTAAGCTCTGATGCCTTCGATCCTGAAACAGAAACCAACAACTGTTATCTCCTGCAGTGTGGTTGAACACCTGTGCATAGGTGTTACCTGTTTCTCCTCCTCGGTCAGCTCCTTCTCTAACTCTCTCAGGTAGTTGTCGTCTAACTCCACTTCTCTGGACACCTCCTCTTTTAGCTCCGAATCTGAATCTTCTTGCACATCGATACCCTGCTCCTCCTCAACCAGAACCTTCTCCTCCTGTCGTCCAAGGATTTCTCTCATTCGGTCAGGTAGTCTGTTCTCTGAATCTGACGAGTTCTCTTCCTCCTTCAGGTTCGTTGTGGTTTCAGGAGGTTCTAGAATTTCCTGGCAGTCATAGAAGTCTTCTTGGACCTCCTTTACCTGTCCTGCTGGTTCTTCTCTTTGGCCGCTCATTCTGAAGCTCTGGTATTCAAGAGAAAGGAGATGTGACTTTAGGTCTGATTACCTGCTCATCGGTTCTTCACATTTATTATTTATTTATTTTACATTCATTTAAAGAGGAGTAACCCCATGATGTGCCAACTCGTTCTGAAGGGGTCTTCTTAACAGGAACTCCGGCTATGAGGATGTGTGTGCCCTAATAAGCCACAGGTTTTCTGTTGTACCACACCATGTTGTTAGAAACACACAACTTTGCTGTTTATTTATAAATCTGTGATATTTGGTACATTTATGACACACAGGATGCCAGGTTTGCGCTCTGGGGGCGATGACGTATGCTGGTTGCACATGGAAGAACAGCTATTGGCGCTAGTGTTCGTTTACGAGCTCACCATATTAATAATGAAGTAAAATGCAGCATCATGCTGCTTTTGGGTGTAATTTCCAGTCAGAGGGCAACAAGGGGTGTGATGTGAGGTACACAGCTTTCCCACTGGCAAGAAGAGGAGAAAGCAGTGGGAAGATGCCTGTGGACGGACACAACTTTCCAAAGATCCCAACATTTTTCTCCTGATGCGTTTGAGGCTCACAGTCGACCACGACTACTTAAAGAGCTCACCAGAGCGGCTGGGTATAAGAGAACGTGGAAACTAAATGCTTTAGTGACCATTTTCCCACACAAGGAGCCTAAACGCCCTCGGAGAGAGGAGAGATGCTGGACGCTCTCCTGAGCCGACAACCTGCTCCTGCAGCCGCCGCTTCTGTCACGCTCAGCTGTAACGTCCAGCAATGGTCAGTTTTTAGGTACTGTTTGACCATTCAACATCTGGTCATAAAGGAGACACGAGACTGTATACGTTGCCCTTTAAATCAGCCTGCCTCCATCCCACCAGCTGGAACTCAGAGCCTGCAGCTCCAAGCCCCCACAATGCGGGTGAAAAATTGAGGCCAACGCAGAAGTGACAAAAATTGCAGTTCCACCCTCATCCACTAGGGGCTGGTGTCAGAAACGAGCAAATCCTCATTGACTCCCATGTTAAAAATACCAATTTCACAGCAGAAATAAACATGTTTACAGCCTGGTGCCAAAACATGTTTTTGGTTTAAATGATCTAGTTTACACTCATGACAACTCTGAGGAGGTGAATTTTTTTCTCACTCTTCTGTTTAAGTGTATTAAAAGCCTAAAATTCTGTATAATTAATGAGCATCAGACCCACGTGACCACAGAGCTAGCTCCGGGGAAAGGCCTCAGTAGAGCCTCGGTCTGGCCTGGAAACTGCTCCAGGATTTTGAGTCTCTGTGTGTGTGTATTCTTGTTTGGATATTTTTGTGCAATTGTTGGACAAAATGACTTGCTGTGGCATTAATTGCACTAATAGAGCGTCCAAGGAGTCTCCACTTCATTTTTTTCAGTAAGTATATTTATGTATTTTAGGTCACTGCCGAGCTGAGCTTAGATTTTAACATGTACTGTTTAACCATGAAATTTAAATGTAACAGGGTAAAACCCAGTGCATTTAACATAATGCTGCACTTTAGAAAATGGGTTGAAATATAACATGTTGGTGGAGCTGGGTTCCCACTATCGGCTTGTGGAGCTCTCGGGAGACCGATGTTTTCCACCCGGTTCTCCCCTTCCCGCAGCTTGGCGCATCTCTGTCTGCTGCGCAGGCTGCAGGCTTGTGGAGCTCTGGGATGGAAACCTTTCCACCCGGTTCTCCCCAGCGGCAGCTCTGCGCATCTCAGATCGCAGTGGCTTCTGTCTGCTGTGTGGCTGCCGGCTTGTGGAGGTCTCGGGAGACCTGTGTTCCACCCGGTTTTACTCAGCGGTCAGCCCGGCGTATCTCTGACTCAGAAGCTCTGGTGTTGTGCACAGTTAACTCCGGTTGTAGCTAGGTTGCTACCTCCATTAGCTTAGCTCCCACCTCCACGTTAGCTTTGGGTTAGCTTCAGGTTAGCTTGTAGCTAGTTCGACCGGGTGTCGTCAGTTGATCCCAGCCTTACAGCCCCACCCTCAGCTCCTCCTCTCTTCCCTTTTATGGAATTGTCTGGGCTTGACGGAACCTGTAACACGGTCAAAATGGCGGTGGTGGCCACCTCCCATTTAGCCTAAAAATGTGTTATTGGAGCCTATGGAAACCCATTGTCCAATATTTATATGTCGATGTGCAGCTCTGCCAGAGATAACGAAATCATAACATTCGCTCCTCAAGGTCCCTCACAGAGAACCCTTCTTATCTAAGTCTCTTTGCTCACAGAAGAAAGAAGAAAAGAAGATTTTAAAATTAAAGAAGAACTTCCACAACTAATAAAGTTAAATAATCATTAAATGAACATTTGTTTATTGCTACTTATAATAATTATAAAATAATGAAATGTTTCACTAATCTGTGCTCAATGACATATGTTTCAGCATGTTTACTTGGTCATAACCATTTTGCACTCACACAACAACAAGTAAGGTAAAGTTAAATCCCATGACACTTAAATAACCTTTACCCCAGTTCAGAGCCTCCGGTATCGAAGAAGGCGTGTGTTTCTGAAGTTGTCTCGGTAATATCCCTCAAACATGTCAACCTCTGGTTGGCTACACAATCATAACATGAGATTCTTAAAACTGGATCACTCTGGTTGACTCAGCAGTTCTAGAGAAAGCTTCAGGCCAGCCACCTGGAGTAACACCTCTTTAACCACCAAAGCTTTTGACACGTCGTCAAAATCTTTTCGCACCTGCAAAGCTGAAAAAGCAAACGATTTCTGCAGAACAAGCTGATTTATCCAACTCCTTAAGAGTTACTCCTGAGACGCAAACTAGTTCCAACTGTCGTTACCTGTATATGACTCTGGACTGACCTGGTTGTACTGCAGTTAATCTACGGACTCCGGTACCTGGGGGTCTCTGACCCCCCCCCCCCGACATCTCGGATCCGAAAAGGGCGTCTCCACTTGGGCACGTAGAACACAGTGACATAGCGTCTGATGTGGTTTTTGATAATAATCAACTTCATAGCTTAACGCAAAAAAAATTCTTTCACATCCAGAACGCAGCTCTCCGAGACACGGAAGTTCTGACTAGCATCACATTCACACGTAGGTTTCCTACATCCCATCTAATTCCGTCCATCACGGTAAATGTTAGCTAATTTGTCATGTTTTAATTGTTTGTAAAAAAAAATTCTTACTTTTATAAACCTGACTGTTTTCTGAATCAAAATGAAGTGTGTACAGTCCCCTAATAAATAAAGAATCCTAGAAAATTCTGATTAACACAATAAAGACCAGGCAGGGTGATATTCTATATTTAGATAGAGTATCACAGCTTATTGGTCATAAGTAGAGGTAATATATATATTGAGCTCTTAAAGCACTCAGTTCACCAAACCCTACACCGCCCTTTTTGCTCTTCATGTCGATGGTCGCTTTGTGAAACATGGTCAGTGATGTCATCATTAATGTTTCACTCTGGTTCCGGTCACACATTGACAATTTAACTCATTCACTACCATTGACGACAAAAGTCGTCATTTGCACCTTTTTACTCTGTGGGCGTCGGAACGAGCCCCCGCACCGTGAGAACAAACATCACAGCTTTAAAGCCGATCTTCATCCGCATACGTCACGTGATCAGGAAGCAGAACATCCATGTGTTAGGAGATCGTTTTGGGCCGCCGCTGTAAAAAAAAAGTGAGGCGCGGACTGGAAAAGCTTCTGCCGATCACAATTCAACAACGGACTATGAAAGAACGGATAAAGCTCGAAATATGCAGATTCTTCCTGATGTAAGAGGTGAGTCTCCGCTTTGTCTTGGTAGTTTTAGCGTTGACATCATCCTAGAGCAGCCTTTCTCAAATGGGGGTACGCGTACCCCTGGGGGTACGTAAAGAAACTCCAGGGGGTACATCAGAGAAGCAGACTGTGTCTAAAAAAGAGCTTGATCACAGCAGTTGCCTCCCTGCCACCAAGGATGAAAAAGATCCTCAGTGAAGCACAAGCCCAAGTGTCTCACTAAAAAGTCTGTAAAAACACTCCGATCAGTGCAGTAATGTTAAGATTTCAGTCTTCTTTTTGATTTTTAAAAATATATTTTGAGATTTACATTTGTTTTTAGCAATTGTTATTTAAAATGGCGTTGATGATTTCTTTTAGAGAACAGATATACTATGATCCCAAAAGAGAACACTTTATGTTGATATGCTTTGTATGAGCACAAATCTTTAATTATAATTAGCTTAATCATTTCTTTGGCCTGTATTTGATTTTTTTTTTAATATTTCTAGTTATATACATATTTTTTCCAAATAGTTCAAGAGATACTACAAAAAATGTGCAGTGTTTTGCATATTTATGGATTTTTCAATGGGTAATCTTATGGTTTTAAATAGTTTTATGGTGACTGTTTTCAATTAATTAATTAGAATCACATTTTAGTGATGAAAAATATTTCCAATACATTTAGTTATGGAGTATTAACATTTAAAATATTCAAAATAGTTTTTTTTCCCCAAATGGTTGAATTTTGTACTTGTTTATCAGTTTCAAAGTTGAATAAATCAGTCACTGAAGGCACCTATTTAAAGTCTTGTTTTTTACAACCAAAAATGTTTTTGCGCTGATTAGGGGTACTTGGCTGAAAAAAATATTTCACGGGGGTACATCAGTGAAAAAAGGTTGAGTACCACTGTCCTAGAGCACAATGTTCTGTGACTCTTAAAAAAACTGTGAAAACGCTGAAAAACGCTGCCAACGAAGAGCTTTACCGACCAGGAAACGGCTGGCAGTGAATGCGTTAATAGTCCAGATTAGCGTAATGTTCCTGTTTGTAGTTCCTCCTGTTAAGTGCCCATTTATTTAAATTATTCAGTTTTATATAAAAAAAAACATTTGGACATACATTTTATTATGTTCCAGTCATTAGTCATTTATACTTCAGTATTGTAGTATTTATTGTAAACTAAGTAAGTTTAAGTAAGTTCGTGGTGTTGGTGTCGGGTTTCCTGCTCATTGGCCTTAGAGGCTACCTGGCTTACCGGAAAATTAACGAGCTGTCGAGGAATATTGGCCTGATCCCGGAGCTCTGAGATGGATTGCACCGCGCTGTGAATTCGCAGACTCAGATAATTGTCGAGATGAATCGTAAGCTTGAGACTTTGGCGGAGATTCATTCTTTGGCACAAAAGATGGATGCCATCAAGGAGAGAGTGGACGAATCATTACGGATTGGGATAGATTAACGTCCATTGCTATTGGGATTCGGAGAGGTTGAGGACCAACAAACTGTAAGACAGAGAGGAAATGATCTCTGTCTGGCCCCAAAACAATTTCTAATCAGAATCTGGCGTCCTTGAGCCTGCGAAGCTCCAACGAAACCCCCCCCTCAGAAGATATGTGGAATGTGTTGTCGCTACGGCAACTCAACTCTGCCTCCTTTCCCAGCCTGGGCGGGACTGCAGGAAGGCCGCCGAAGCGTCCAGGGTCACTGCAACGCTCCAACCCTCAATGCTCCCCCCCCCTATCCACACTGAGGTGACATGCGCTGCTTCATCATGGCTCTAGGAGCTGAAGCTGGGATGGTCCCAACTAGGGCTGGGCGACATGACGATTTTAGACCGTTTTACGATCTACACATCCGACGGTCTGTCATTTTTGAGACCTTTTTATCACGATTCACAGCTCTGCTGTTGAATTTCTGCCTCTGAATGAAAAGGGAACTTACCCCAGGTGAATGACACGCCTTTGTTTGACCCTTAACCAATCAGAGTGAGTCATAGTAATACGTATATTAGTGTCCCGCTTGTTTTCACCTGTGTGTGAACAAACATGGCTTCGGCCGCGGCTGAGAGCGACAACAAGGTTTTCGTTCCGAAGAGGAACGCCTCGTCCGTTATATGGAACTGGTTTGGTTTTTCACCAGACGACGAAGAGCAGCGAAACGTCATTTGCAAAGTTTGAAAGGAGAGCGTCAAGGCAAGTGATGGCAACACCACAAACTTGTTTAATCACTTGAAAAGAAGGCATCCCAAACAATACAATGAGAGCCAGCTGGCAGCTAAAGCTAAAAAGCCTGCAGCGGCAGCGGCTAGTGCTTCTTCCAGGCAGCAAACGCTAACAGAAACACTCACAAAACTCACTCCCTACGACAGAGACAGCAGACGATGGAACAGCGTGACAGATGCAGTGACGTACCACTTGGTTAAAGATTTGTGTCCCGTGCGAACAGTAGGAGTGGGATTTAAGAAAATGATAAAAACATTGGATCCGCGCTACGAGTTGCCCAGCCGCAAGTATTTTTCGAACACAGCCATTCCACGCATGTACGCTGAATGCACAGAGTGGGCGGGGCTGACTCTGGTGCAGCTCCGCCTTTGTGGTTCTGCAGCGAGCACCCTCTCGGCCTACTTGTACACACCCAATGTGGATAGTGAAATGAATCCACTTGAATGGTGGAAGGCCCATGAGGTCTTTTTTCCAAAAGTGAGTCAGCTTGCTCAGAAGTATCTTTGCATCCCTGCAACAAGTTCTCCTTCTGAGTGAGTGTTTAGCACTGGTGGCAATATTGTCACATGCCAAAGGGAAGCCCTTAAACCAGACAAGGTGGACTAACTCGTCTTCAGGGCAAAAAAACCTGTGACTTGTTTTGTTTTAGTTTTGCTTGGATTGATGGAAGAATAATTTTCTTCACAACGTTACTCCAGTGTTAGAAATGCTTACACAACGTTAACTCTGTTCCATTTTATTAAGAAACTTTACGTGTGCCTGTTTAGTTCATCAGTATTTTTGAACAAGTTAATGTTTGCACAATACGTTTGCAATTGACATGTTTGTACTTTAAATATGTTTACGATTTTAATTTATGTTAAGTTACTTGAAAAAAAATGTTTCTCATCTTTAATATGGAATTGAAGTTATGCTATTCATGGATAAAAATCGTGGTAAAATATTGGAAAAATCGTGATATTCTATTTTTGCCATATCGCCCAGCCCTAGTCCAAACCCACCGCCCCTCCTAGTGGACACTTATGTTGTGTTGTCTGAAGTCTGTTGCATATCTCTGTCTGAGGTGTTTTTTTGCAGAGCAAAGCTGCCCTCCTGGTGAGAGGGTAACTTTGAAGTGCCTTTTTTCCCTCCACCTGAACCAATCCTCATGTAACCCTCTTATCTCTATTAAGGTATCGTGACTCAGGATTGCGAATGACCACAGTCACCAATTCTTGTCATGTGTCTTGCCCATGTATGTCTGATCTCTGAATTGAGTGTACTGAAACTCTAATCTCCCTCTGGGATTAATAAAGTATCTTTGATTTGATTGATTTAACTAACAGGGGAACCCATTGTTCTTGCATTCTTTAATGAAAAACAAAACGAAATACTTATTTTTCTTGGTAATTAGTAACTTTATAATCTTGTAACTCGATAAGTAACTGGGTTACTTTTCTGACAAAGTAATCAGTAACTACAACAACTACTTTAAAGTAACGTTCTGGTCAGAAGTGGACGTGATGCAGCAGTTTAATGATTCATTCCTCAATCTGCTGTAGCTCTGTAGCATTTAGCACAAGCTGCATCTTCACCTGAGCGGGTTCTGAATCTAGACCGGACTCCAGGGCCTTAAATGGGTCCTGTTCTGCTCCGGAACGTAAAAAACATCTGCTCTCATCAGCTGTGAGCGCAGCTACATGCTAACTGCTAAGCTAACAGCCAGCTAAAGACAGTGAGAACTGCATCGTCAGTCTCATACGTCACACACTCCATAATGTAATAAAGGTTACGTCTGACCGCGGGCTAAAGCCATCGCAAACAGAACAAAAACTACAGTTTATCTCACCTGCAAATGCTGTTCTGTCAGCGCTGCACGCAAACTGACGTCACACCCAGGACAGCTTCTTCTTCGTGTTGATGGAAGGTGACGTATACTCCTTAGCGCCCCCGGCTGGATGACCCGGATGACATCGGTCTGGTTCAGGTCCCTGGAAAGTTTGCTTCCTCATCCAGTTCTTCACAAATAAAGTTAAAATTAAAAAGCGTAGTTTTTGGCAGATTTTTTTTACAATGTTTACATCTTAACATTGTTGTGTTTAATCTTCATATGCAGCCAGGAGCGTCTGAGCCCACTGATGTCAGCATTGTTAATAATTATATATCAGCTTTAGTCTGGGATGGACCCGTATCATTAACACGCGCCATCCTCTTTGTGTTAAATAGCCTTAAACTAGCTTACAGCTGCTAACATAACACATGTTAACCATATATTTGCTCTGGCCACACGTGGCTAACATGCTAACATTTGCTTTAAATGACCTCGGTGAGGAATATGAGGGCTAAACGGTTTACAGCGTTAACTTTAGGGTCACGTGACCATTAAAACAAAGCTCACAGCTGCTCAGCTGAAACAAAGTCCTCCAGTCTCTAAACATCCAGACTCTGGAGCAGAACATGAAAATGGCATGAATGATGAAACTTTAATGAAACACAGGGCTGCCAACTTTAGAACATCTCCAACCCCGTCACGGGAGGGGGGGACTAGGACTCATCCTTTCATGTATTCAATGAGACTTTTTGTGATCTACATTTTGTTTATTTATTTCTACACATTGTTTGATACAAGTTTTCTTTTCTTGAGGAAAATTTATAGTATTTATTATTGTTGCCCTGGTCCCCGAAATGCCTTGAAACGGCCCTGGGTGTGGTGAGCTTCGAAGGTGATCTGATTTGTATCAAATATATAAATATTACATGCCTAGATTATTGCTCTATAACGTTAAAAACATGTAGTGGGATAAATCTGCCTACATTTTCCTTTCAAACACTTTGTCTTGTTTTCTTGATTTTTATTTGACTATTTTTCTGTCCTGTCTGTCTCCTTTCTCCCTGCATCTTCCCTCAATCCTAAAGAAAAAATATTGCCTGGCTTCCTACATCATTTCCTTCTGAGTTACTCTTGAACTAAGCAGATCAGAGGGACCAACCTACCGCAAAAATAGTGGCATATGCTGGCCATGCCTGTGTGATACCGCATTACAAGACAGGTGATGCTCCGCAGCGCCTCAGGCACGAAAGACAAGAAGCATGAGAGGACATGAGCTGACAGTAACCATCGTGTGTTGACTGAATTTTTTGGGGGTGCATGGCAACACTTAGAGAACATTACTGTGGCCGTACGCAGGATGGAGGTTCCTGGAGCACAACAACGATCAGCGCTCAGCGTCCTCTCCGCTCAAAAGAACCCCAGAAGAGTCCACATTAATAATGTACTATAAGTAGACCAGGATCTTTTTTTTGGGCTCCCCCTGGGTGTATGAGTTTACAGCTGCAGGGGAGCCGGGCTCCCCTTAGCACCCCCGTAATTCAAACCCTGCACTAAACCAACTAATTGTGGCAACATGGAGAAATAAGGGCTCTGGCGGGATCTGATCCCCAGACTCCCAGGTGAGAGTCACGCGCTAACCAGTCAGCCAAAGGGACATCTCATGGCCAAGGAGCCAGGGCGCATGATCAATCTGGATACAGTGACAGGATGCTCAGCCTGTCACATAGTGTAGGACAGGACGTGTGAGTGAGTCACCACGGTAGGAAGCCCAGCTTGCTGTTAGTGAGAGTACTGAGCGATCTTTGGCTGATGAGTGAAAACAAAAGACTAAAAACATGAAACACTAAAGCTCTGTCAAAATCAGCTGGCGACGCAGCTGCCTTTCTCAATGAAAGCACGTCATTTTAGCGCCTCACAGTTCTGGGAGAGAGAACCGGGCCTGCAGGTGGAGCTCACCGCTCCTCCCACCTCTCAGCCAGAGCAGAGAGCAGCACATCGGCTTGGATCATGCAGAAGGGATTGTGTGTGAAATAACGGCAGTAAGATGATTACATCAGTGTTGTTTGTGTGCATGCTGTCCAGTAGCTGATACTAGATTTGTGAATGTGCTACTACTAGTTTACCCGTTTAATTATAGATCCACTAGGATAAATACAATAAAGTTTATCTCTCACCAAATAGAATATTTACTAAGAAATCATAATGTAGCCATAGAAATACTACTTGGTATATATGTTGTGTGTGTGTGTGTGTGTGTGTGTGTGTGTGTGTGTGTGTGTGTGTGTGTGTGTGTGTGTGTGTGTGTGTGTGTGTGTGTGTGTGTGTCTGCTCTGTCTTCTCCATCCCCAGTGAGTCGTGGAGGATGGCTGCTTATACTGAGCCAGGATCCTCTGGAGGTTTCTTCCTGTTAAAAGGAAGTTTTCCTCTCCACTGTCGCTGCATGCTTGCTTAGTATAAGGATTGCTGTAAAGACTCTGACACTAGTCAGTGACTCGATGCAACCTGCTGGGTTCCTTATACAGGAAACTTGTTAGTGATTGGCTTAAAACTGGGGCCTCATTCATCAAGCTCGCTTACGCACAAAACGGAGTCGGAAAACTGCGTAAGCAACTTTCCACACAAACTTTGGATTTATGAAAGAAAACTTAGAGGAAAAATGTGCGCAACTTTAAGTTGACTAAAGACCTCGCCTACGCACATTTTGGGCATGGAGAGCACCTGCAGTGCTGCTGCTGAGAAGATACAATTATGTATTCCTGCAGCATTAATACTTGTACTGCTTCGTTTTCACACAGAACAAGACCCCACACACACGCGCGCACACAGACACACACACACACGCACGTGTGAGCACACACAGCCTGAAGCGCAGAATACGGAATGCAGAATATCAGCAGGGAGACATATTGAGACAGAATGTCATGCTTCTGTGACAGGGTGTGTCCTGTCACTGTGACCTGATTGATGATGCACCCTGGCTACTTGGACAAGGGAGGTCTCCATTTGGCTGACTGGTTAGTGTGTGTGACTTTCACCTGGGAGTCTGGGGATTGAATCCTGATTGGATCAGCCTTTTTTTATATCCGCCACAGATCTCTCTGAAGAACTCAACATTGACGGCTTCAGCAACGTTGTGCCACTCTGCGGATTTTCTCTCATTTGTTTTGCAAAAGCACTTCCTTTCATTTCTCCACCTCACCCACAAGTACCTCAATTTCTGCTTGTGAAATAGTGCTTCCTTGATCCGCAGTCGTGATTGAAATGCTGCAACAGCCTGCTTATATGCATGAAGTCCACAAGGCACTTTGCATCAACCATTTATTGCAGAAAGTGGGCGTGGTGAGGGCGGGATGTGACTAAAAAGCAGCTGAGAACCTTTCTAGATAGTTTCTGATTTATGAAGCAGAAATTGCGTGCAGCTGTGCGTACTCCATGTTTGATAGATCACAAACCTACTTGGCGTGAGTACATTTTTTTGCGGAGCTTAAGTACGGTTTTAGTAATGATTCTACGCAATGTTTGATAAATGAGACCCCTGACCTGTACTGGAATGTTTACTGTGTGAAGGTCCTGGAGATGACTCTGGTCCTGATTTGACGCTTTATAAATAAACTTGAATTTAATTTATTTGAATAATTAACATAATCTTTTTTTTTTACACATACCTGATTGCCTGGTGCCCCTCAGGCCCCTATGCACTGCGTGTGAAGCACATTTAGGGACCGCTGGTGTTACATCAATGTGTTCCCTGGTTCAGCGTGAGATTTTGAAGGTGTGGAGTGAGAGCGTATGAAGAGGGTCAATGTGTAGAGTTCACCACTGGCCACTAGGGTGTGCTGTTATCAAACCTCGAGGGAAAAAGGTGTCTTCAGGGACGTGCCTGAAATCACGTACATGCGACTATCCCTGACTGTACATACTGCTGCTTCTCATTTGTATTGCTGCTGCGCAACCATCACACTGCTGTCCATCTATGTTACTCTTCGACTTGTATCTGTAAGTCTTCACATGCTTGTTAAGCTAATGTAACAGTCACATTGTCAGTATGCATGCTAAGCCACCCTGCATTTGTTTACGTATTTCATCACATTGCTTTGCTTTGCTTTACCCTTTAGCCCATCCTGCTGCTTCACACTGTCGTTAGCTTCTGCTCACTCAGCTTTGTATGTCGCCGTAAGGCTCCTTCATCTTTGTCAATAAAACCATTAGACATCGAGGAGTACATTTCTTCATGAAGGAGCCATGGTAGTTGTCAGATGCTCCATTCCAGCCTGAACTTTTGCCACCGATGACGTGTCCGAGGCTCTCGCCGTGGCGCTGCTGGCAAACCATGGCCTCGCCCATCAGAGCCAGACCGAACCTGCTGTGCCCGTCCGGGCCCCGGGCCTGCCTGGCCCTGCGCTGGATCGATCAAGAGAAGATGTCGGCATGTCCATCGAGGAATGGAACGTTTTCACTCGCCACTGGAACCTCTTCCGTGCTGGCTCGGGCATAGGTGATGCCCAGGCCCCCTTCCAGCTGTTTCAGTGTGCCGGTCCGGAACTTGGGGACAGTTTGCTGAAGGCTAACCCGGGTGCTGCAACTGGACCGGTTGAGACTCTGCTGGCTGCCATGTGCTCTTTGGTGGTGATACCGGTTGCCAAATGTGTTCTGAGGACTGAACTGCTTCAACTACACCAGGAGCGTGATGAGCCCTTTCATGCTTTTGCCGCCAGGGTGCGTGGTAAGGCAGTAACCTGTGCCTACAACGCTGTTTGTGAAAGCTCTTCATTGCCAGTAAACCCAACTCAACTCTCCCACCATCCTTCCTTACCCTCTGCCTCTCAGAAATCAAATCCTGGTTCACCTCTAATTTCCTCAAACTCAACGGCAATAAAACTGAACTTCTTCTAGTTGCTACCAAAATCACCATCTCCAAATCTGACAGCTTTTCCTTAACTATTGACAGTGCCATACTCTCCCCCTCCCCTCACGTCAAGAGTCTGGGTGTCATCCTGGACAGCTCACTTTCTTTTCAAGCTCACATTAATAACAGAATTCGGTCAGCATATTTCCGTCTTCGTTCCATAAACCGTCTCCGCCGCTCCCTTACCCCTCACACTGCCACCATTCTCGTCCGCAGCCTCGTCACCTCCCGTCTCGATTATTGCCGTTCACTTCTTTATGGTCTCCCCAAAAAACACCTTCATAAACTGCAACTGGTCCACAATTCAGCAGCCCGTATTATCACCAGAACCCCTTCCTTTCACCAAATCACCACGGTTCTCCAGCAGCTTCACTGGCTCCCAGTTAAATTCAGGTCCATCTTCAAAATGTAACACATTGTCCTGTCTCCCCTTTTGGTTTGGTCCTGTGTCTGTTAATTGCTCCCACCTGCCTCTCGTTTCCCAATCACCCAAGCTCCCAGCCCTCCTGTATTTAAACCCCTTCTGTGTTGTGTCTCGTGTTGGATCATTGTTTCTATATCCTGCGTGCTTCATATTAAAGCCTTTAAAACCGCTCCTGCTTGTCTGCCTGCCTGCCTTTGCACCCACATTTGGATCCTTACCTCCGCTTCGTTCACCGGCACGTTGTGACAGAATGATCCAACCCATAAAAGGATCCAGTGGGGAGATTCTCCCCTGTGAGTGCCTGCTCCAGTTCCTCGCTTCGGAACATCGGCTGGCTTCTTCTCCTCCTCCGGCTTCGCCTTCGCCTTCGCCGCAGACGCCGTCACCGGGCTTCAGCCGCGGCGTTCCTCTCCACCCTTTCGGAGCCAGATGAGAGGTTGGACCGGGAGATGCTTCCGGATCGCTCCAGCTTCATGGGCACCCGACTGGCTGTGTGCTCCCCTGGAGCTGGCCCACGGCGTGGGGAAGGAAGCCGGGCTCCACAGCCATCCTGTGTCCCAGGACGGAGCCGCGAGCTCGCCGCTGCCCCGGCTCTGCGCACTTGCTTGGACCCGCCCCCAGTCAGACCAACAGTCCTGTCTCCGGTCCAATCCACGCCTCCGTCATCTGCAGGTGGAGGAACCACGCCCACAGCCCAGCTGACAGAGCTTGCAGATCTGCAGGCGGAGCTTGGCCTGATCCGTCAGATCGTCAGCCTCAATGAGTCCCACCTGGACAACCTGTCTTCCCCGAATCACCAGGAGAGGGTTTAAGTACAGCCAGCAGCTCCCTCGTCTCAGAGCTAGAGGAGCAAGCCTGCAGTCCACCCAGCAGAGCTCGCCGGTGTCCGAGCTGAGCTGGCCCAACTCCATCAGAGCCTCAGTCTCCAGGAGCTCCAACTGGACACTCTATCCTCCCTCCTCTCCCAGTTTCCAGCACCACCAGTCCAATTGCATCCAGTTCCAGCGGTGGTCCCGGAGGTCGCACCACATCCGGTCCAGCCTGTCCAAGCAGTCCCGTCTGCAGCAACTCCTCCTCCACTCCAGAAGTCGACGGTCCAGAAGTCGACGCTCCCGGACCAGAAGTCGAGGGTCCAGAAGTCGAGGGTCCAGAAGTCGAGGGTCCAGAAGTCGATGGTCCAGAAGTCGATGCCTCCGGACCAGAAGTCGACGCCTCCGGACCAGAAGTCGACGCCTCCGGACCAGAAGTCGACGCCTCCGGACCAGAAATCGACACCCCCGGACCAGAAATCGACGGTCCAGAAGTTGACGGTCCAGAAGTCGACGGTTCAGAAGTCGATGGACCAGAAGTCGACGCCTCCGGACCAGGAATCGATGCCCCCGGACCAGAAGTCGATGGAGGTCGATGCCCCTTCCGGTCCTGTGGTCGACGCCTCGTCCAGTCCTGTGGTCGGCACCTCGTCCAGTCCTGTGGTCGGCGCCTCATCCAGTCCTGTGGCCGACGCCTCATCCAGTCCTGTGGCCGACGCCTCATCCAGTCCTGTGGCCGACGCCTCCTCCAGTCCTGTGGCCGACGCCTCCTCCAGTCCTGTGGTCGACGCCTCCTCCAGTCCTGTGGTCGACGCCTCCTCCAGTCCTGTGGTCGACGCCTCCTCCAGTCCTGTGGTCGACGCCTCCTCGTGTTCTGAAGTCGACGCCTCCTCGTGTTCTGAAGTCGACGCCTCCTCGTGTTCTGAAGTCGACGCCTAGTCCACTCCAGAGGTCGACGCCTCGTCCACTCCAGAGGTCGACGCCTCGTCCACTCCAGAGGTCGACGCCTCGTCCACTCCAGAGGTCGACGCCTCCAGCCCAGAGGCCGACGACGACGCCTCCGGCCCAGAGGCCGACGCCTCCAGCCCAGAAGTCTAGGATTTCTCCTCCGGCATCTCTGCCTCCAGTTACCGCCGGTCCTGCCCTCATCAGGCACGGGCCCTCAAGAGTCCATCCTCGTCTCCTGCTCTGTCCCAGACGCAGGCCCCCAAGAGCCCGTCACCGCCTCCTCTGCCACAGACGCAGGCCCCCAAGAGCCCGTCGTAGCCTCCTCGGCCACAGACGCAGGCCCCCAAGAGCCCGTCGTCGCCTCCTCGGCCACAGACGCAGGGCCCCAAGAGCCCATCGTCACCTCCTCGGCCACAGACGCAGGCCCCCAGGAGCCCGTCGTCACCTCCTCGGCCACAGACGCAGGCCCCCAGGAGCCCGTCGTCGCCTCCTCTGCCCCAGGCGCAGGCCCCCGGACTCTGCTGGTCCTTGCCTCCTGTTCATCGGGCCCTCGGTCCCTCTCGGCCCTCCCTCCGGGTCACCCTCCCCCCGCCCCACTCTGTGTTCCTGTGGGCGTCTGGAATCCGCCCTTTTGGGTGGGTGGGGGAGGTAACTGTCACACATTGTCCTGTCTCCCCTTTTGGTTTGGTCCTGTGTCTGTTAATTGCTCCCACCTGCCTCTCGTTTCCCAATCACCCAAGCTCCCAGCCCTCCTGTATTTAAACCCCTTCGGTGTTGTGTCTCGTGTTGGATCATTGTTTCTATATCCTGCGTGCTTCATATTAAAGCCTTTAAAACCGCTCCTGCTTGTCTGCCTGCCTGCCTTTGCACCCGTGTTTGGATCCTTACCTCCGCTTCATTCACCGGCACGTTGTGACACAAAATTCCCCTCCATACCTTCAAAGCCATCCATAACCTCTCTCCTCCATATATCTCTGACCGACCTTATAAGTATTAACACCCCCTCCCGTTCTCTCAGATCTTCTTCCTCCATCCATCTTGCTCTTCCTTCTGCCCGTCTCACTACCAAGGGGAGCAGAGCTTTCAGCCGCTCTGCTCCCCTTCTCTGGAACTCACTCCCCCCAGACATCACGAACATCGACAGTTTCATCCTTTTCAAAACCAGACTCAAAACACACATGTTTAAATCTGCCTATGACCTCTGATTTTATTGAACTGTTTCTCTCTGTTTTTTTCTTCTTTGCGTTTTATTGTTGTTTTATTGCTGTTTTAATGTGTTTTCTGAATGTATTTTCTGTCAAGTGACCTTGGGTGTTCTGAAAGATGCTTTTAAATAAAATGTATTATTATTATTATTATAACACGACATCTTAAAAGAGAAAACACTTCCTCAGTTCGCCAGTTCCAGGAAGCTGTGCCAGTTCAGCCAAACTGTTCCAGCGGCATGAAGAACCATCCCTTTCTTTGATTTTGTATTTCAGAGCACTAGTAACTGGAGGATCAAGAGCTGGTGTCTCTCAGAATCAGACAAGGTTTGATGTCTTGTTCTGGTCAGGTCCACGTCTGGACCTTCGGTGTGACGTGATGGAATAGCATCAGAATGAAAACCTTCTCATAGTAAAAATAGGCCAGACCAGCAGGGAGCACCATCTAAACAAAACGTTTATTGATTTAGAGATTAGAACTTGGACCAGAACCAGAACCGATACCTAAAGAAACAGAAATAATTTGTTTTCATTAAACACAAACCAGTCCAGCATATCAATCAAAAGATCAGAGAATGGTGATCTGCTCCTCCTCGTCCTCCTGCTGCTTTCTGTGATCACTCTCTGGTGTCTGCAGACATGGGAAGAACCGGTAAACTACAAACACACACAACTGGTCTTCTAGTTCATGCATGTCAAACAGGCTGGCCTTTATAGTAAACACTCAGGGACCAATCACAGCTCACCAGTTCTAAACACATCTGGGACCACATGTTACAATGTGTGTCGTTAGGAATTTACAGGTGTGCTAGAGTTGTGTGTGTGTGTGTGTGTGTTACAAGTCTGTTAATTATGTCCATAAACAAGGTGTTTCAAGTGTGTTAACATTCTGCTGCAGGATCCTTTTGTTGTCCTCCCAGAGCCAACGCACACGTTAGGTCCATCTAGGTTAACGCTCCTGTGATTGAATGACAGGTTGTGTGTCTCACTGCGTTGGACTGGAGACCAGTCGTATCCCCAAGTGGACAGGGATGTGAGCTACACAGACGTTCCAGGTGTGGTAAAGATTGATCAACATTTAGAAACAGGTGTGCTACAGATATGGCTGATGTATGACATGTGTTGACCATTTAGAACAGGCGTTAATGATGGTCTACTTGATACAAGAATGTTAATAATGTACTTCAATTGTATTTTATGTATGTAAAAGATGTACTACAAGTATTTAACAGGTGTGTTCAGCATGTGTTCCAGGTGCGTGCCAGGCGTTGTGAAACAAACACTCACAAGAAAAAGCAGAGTGTGATGGATGATGAACTCTCTGGTGAGTCGGATCAGGTCTTGGGTCACAGCCTGAAACAGAGATGGAACCAGAACCACAGCCAGGTTCTGAGCTGACATCTTGTTCACCTGAGAGAAAACCTGAAGCCTGAAGAGCAGATGGAGCAACAGTTAACGGGTCGGCTGGCACGTGACAGTTACCGAAGTTTAAATGCTGTTTTGTGTTTATTACATGTAAAAATGTCCAAACAGAGCATTGAGTGTTGCCCTGTTGTCATCAGGAAGTTGCCGTAGTAACCGTCTGTATTCCTTAAACCGGCTGTGTTCTTCTGAAATCACTAAGAAAAAACTTGCGTTAGATTGAATTCTCCTTTAGTACCATTGTAGTGCTATTATAGTACTGCTGTAGTACTGCTGTAGTACTATGCTCAAAATAAAAATGACGAGGTGCTTTACGAGAACAAAAATAAAAAATGATGAAGATGAGAAAAGTAAAAATTGAGATTAAAAATGTGAGGAAAAGGAAAGAGAAAATGAAGAAAGACGTAATCAGTGGATCCCGGGAAAGTCAGAGGGTGGTGATGGAGGTCCCACCAAAGCCTGAACAGGTGAGTTTAAAGGCCCAGTGTGTGAAATCCATCAAAATCAGGATGTAAAAATGCGACTCTTTAGCGCCATGCAGTTCAGAGAAAGTACTGCAGCTACGGTGGCTCACTCATGAGTTTGACTGTATTATCAGTTTCCAACCTGTGTAGCCTAACCCTCACAAAGCTTAAAACGAACTACTCGACCTCTTTAAAAAGTATTTATAATTATGACTGTTTATCAACCTACCAGTTCTGAAGGAAGCAAGCTAGTTCTGTTGAAGCTGTCACCATTCACCCACGGAGGAGGGGTGACGTCAGCCGGGAGGTCAGGTGTTGTGAGAAATTTTGTTCCCCTGAAATATTCTGTCCCCCCGTGTCGGAAGATCGCACTTCTGGCTATTTTCACAACATTTGTGATAAACTTTTACGGTAAAAGGATGTAATGTAAGGTAATAATGTTATGCTTGTGATTTTTATCTTTATTTCTCCCTAAAAACAATAAAATTTACAGTAAAACATTCGTGTTCATTCTTTTGCAGCAAGCTTATTCATCATTTATGAAAGTTATGTAAAAAGATGTCATCTCACTCAGTTTAACCAGATTTTATTGGAGGTAGTTTAGTCCTCATAATGAACTATAAGTTCTGTGGATTTTGAAATATTTGCTCCTGACTGCCTAAGGGAAACAGAATATTTCAGCGGAACACAATTTCCCATAACACCTGTGAAGATGCGAAGAGACAGCACCCATCCCTCTTTGGATGGAGCAGCTCTTCTTTCTAGGAATGTGGCCAATTTTATTAGTCCTCCATGACAACCCAGGGTCCAGACCAGGAAGCAGAGTCGTAGTTTAACACACTCCTCTGCAGCTTCTGTACTGTTACCCACCCACTACCCCATAGAGACAGTGTCCTGCCCACGGCTAAAACCACACAGATTAAATATCAGGCTTAATAAAGCAAATCATGGAAATATCATAAATATTAGAACAAATTCAACTGAGCAGAAAACTAGAAAAATTAAATGTGGGTTATTGAACATTAGATCTATTTTTTCTAAAACTTTGTTAGTTAATGACTTGATTTGTGATAATCAGATCTCGTTGCTCTCTCACAGAATCCTGGCTGCAGCAAGAGGACTATGTTAGCTTAAATGAGTCGACTCCTTCTAATTATTTAAATCATCATATTGCTCGAAGAACAGGGCGAGGAGGAGGAGTAGCAACCATTTTTCATTCAGACTTATTAATCAGTCCCTTACAGATTAAAAGTTACAGTTCGTTTGAACATCTTATTCTTAGTTTTCCTAATCCAGATTGCAAAACTGTAAAACCACTCTTGTTTGTAGTTTTATATCATCCACCAGGCCCTTACTCTGAGTTTTTGGATCAGATCTCGGATTTTTTATCTGATTTGGTGCTAAATACTGTTAAGGTCATTGTAGTGAGGGATTTTAACATTCATGTGGACATTTAAAATGATAGCCTCAATGTAGCCTTTGGTAATATCTTAGACTCAATTGGTTTTACCCAAAGAATACTTAGCTCCACCCACTTCTGCCAGCATACATTGGACCTTGTGCTCACTTATGGCATAGAGTGTGAGGAAATAATATTTCCACATAATCCAGTCCTCTCGGACCACTTTCTTTTGACCTTTGAGTTTTTTATAACTGAGTTCTCGGGACATGAAAGTGAATTTCACTATGGTCGGTCTCTATCTGATAACTCTGTTGCATGTCAGAGGAATGCATCAGAAGGCAATATTTTTATTTCTAGCCCTTTACAAATTGATGGTCTAGTTCATGATGTTACTGCTTCTTTACGTGTGGCATTAGATGATGTAGCCCCTTCAAAAACGAAGGTAATTAGGGACAGGAAGTTGGCTCCCTGGTTTAATTTTCATTTACGAACTTTAAAACAAAACTCTAGGAAGTTGGAGAGAACATGGCGCTCTACACACCAGGAGGAATCCTACCTATCCTGGAAAAATAGTCTTGTGCTTTACAAAAATAAGCTCCAACAAGCTAGAACTGCCCATTTATCATCGCTAATTGAAAAGAATAAAAATAATCCTACATTTCTTTTCAGTACAGTTGCCAAACTTACACAGAATCATAGCTCTGAACAATCTATTCCCTTAGCCCTCAGCAGCAATGACTTTATGGGATTTTTCACAAGTAAAATTAATTCTATTAGAAACAAAATCATTAGCATCCTCCCTAATGCGATTTCTTCTTCCTCAGTAAGTGAGGCAGCATCAGAGGTAACTGTAGAACCTCATCTGTGTTTGAACTGTTTTGATCCAGTTGAGCTTTCAGCGTTATCAAAGATAATAGCTTCATCTAAACCTTCAACTTGCATTTTGGATCCAATCCCAACCGAATTATTTAAAGATGCATTTCCTTTGGTTACTGCCCCCATTCTACATATAATCAATCTATCCTTAGTAAATGGATATGTACCACAGGATTTTAAGGTTGCTGTAATCAAACCTTTACTTAAGAAGCCTTCTCTGGATCCAGATGACCCAATGAATTATAGACCAATATCTAACCTTGCATTTTTATCCAAAGTCCTTGAGAAAATAGTGGCCATCCAAGCATGTGAGCATTTAAACACTAATGCTCTGTTTGAGGAATTTCAGTCTGGTTTTAGAGAGTATCACAGCACTGAAACTGCATTAGTGAAAGTTACAAATGATATTCTCATGGCCTCAGATAAGAATCTTGTGTCTGTTCTAGTCTTGTTAGATCTCAGTGCTGCCTTTGACACAGTTGATCACAATGTTCTTTTAGAAAGGCTTGAACATGTTGTAGGGATCAAAGGAACAGTGCTAGGCTGGATAACTTTTTACTGTGTATATGCTCCCAATTGGTAAAATCATTAGACAGCATGGGATAAACTTCCACTGTTATGCTGATGATACTCATTTATATCTATCCATTAACCCTGATGAACCTAATTGTTTAGGTAGATTACAGGCTTGTCTTGAAGACATAAAAAATTGGATGACTCAAAACGTTTTGCTTTAAAATCAATACAAGACTGAAGTTCTCATCTTTGGACCTGAAATTCAGAAAAGGAAAATGCTTACTCAATCACCTGACCTGAGTGGCATTAAATTAGTCTCCGAGAACAAAGTAAGGAACCTTGGTGTTATCTTTGACCAGGACATGTCATTCAAATCCCACGTTAAACAGGTTTGTAGGATTTCATTTTTCCACCTTCAGAATATTGCTAAGATTAGAAGCATCCTTTCCAGGAGTGATGTTGAAAAACTAGTTTAGGCATTTATTTCATCAAGACTGGATTACTGTAATTCATTGCTCTCAGGAAGTCCACAGAATGTAGTTAAAAGCCTTCAGCTTGTCCAAAATGCTGCAGCTAGAGTTCTGATGAGAATTAAAAAGAGCGATCATATCTCTCCTGTCTTAGCTTCCCTACATTGGCTAACTGTTAAATTCAGAATAGATTTTAAGATCCTCCTTCTCACATATAAAGCTCTTTACAATAAAGCTCCATCATACATCAGTGACCTGATTGATCCATATGTTCCTAACTGAGCACTTCGCTCTCAGACTACAGGGTTACTGGTGGTTCCCAGAATATCTAAGATTAGGATGGGAGGCAGATCTTTTAGTTATCAGGCTCCTCTCCTGTGGAACCAGCTCCCAGCTTTAGTCCGTGAGGCAGACACCTTGTCTACTTTTAAGACTAGGCTTAAAACATTTTATTTGATAGGGCCTATGGGTAAAATCTGATGTTAGCCTAGATCTGGACAAGTGGGGGAGTCGAGGGAGGTGGAGTGTACAGTCGGTAAAGACGACTCTCCCTTGCCCTGCCTCCAACATGCCTCCATCTAAAAAGGCTAGGTTATCCAGAGTTATTTCTGTAGTTATGCTGCTATAGGCTTAGACTGCTGGAGGACATACTGACCACTTCCCACACTCGACTACTTTCTTCTACAATCTGCTCTTTAACTGTATCATTTCCTGCAATTTCACCTGTTAAATTTGTTTTTTCTCTAAGTGTTTTTCTCCCCAGAAGAAGCTACAATGATGTTCTGCTGAGCTGTGGTGGCCTCATGGAGGGGGCCATCGACTAGCACACTGCTGCTAACCACTTAAACATTCTCCCTCTCTTGATAATAACATTTACTTTCCTTGACGTTGGATGTGCTACTACTAGTTTACCCGTTTAATTATAGATTCACTAGGATAAATACAATAAAGTTTATCTCTCACCAAATAGAATATTTACAAAGAAATCCCAATGTAACCATAGACACACTACTTGGTGTGTATGTGTGTGTGTGTGTGTGTCTGCTCTGTCTTCTTGATCCCCAGTGAGTCGTGGCGGATGGCAGCTTCCACTGAGCCAGGATCCAGCCAGAATATGCTGCGTTCCTTATATAGGAAACTTTTCCTGACTGGCTTTATGAATTGACCTGTATTGGAATGTTTATTATGTAAAGTGCCTTGAGACGACGCTTGTCGTGATTTGGCACTGTATAAATAAACTTGAATCGAATTGAATTGAATCCGTTTCACGTGGATCTTGGTGCCTCGATGTAAACAAACTGGCTGTTGCTACCAACTTAAATGGATATGGAGTGATCACTGGCTGATCGTTAGCCACGGCTGGTGAAGGAGTGTTGGTGAGCCGGGGACATGCTGGAGATCAAGTAAACGATGCTGACTTATACACCAGCTAATCGTGGCTCATGACTGGTGTGGTGGAGATCGGCACCAGGAGCTACCGAGCTACTAGTTAGCCATGGCTAGAGCCGGGGAGACGCTGTGCATGCTGTTTGTAAACTCCCACGGATTACCAGCAAAAGCAGACCGAAGTCTAAAGGTAACGTCTGAGAAGAAGCCCTCTGAGTCGGATGGTCTCTGTAACACGTGTAGAACTACATCTCTGTTAGTAAAGTGTTGTGGGGATAAAGTAAACAACACTGATTTAGCCACTGTCTAGCAGACGAGCGCTGGAGCGTGTTGGGCGAGACGGCAGGCTGCAGGAAGAGCGGAGACTTGAGTAGAAGGACTTTGGAACGGACACGTTGGGACCGGATTGGGAGTTCTGGCACCGACACGTTGGGACCGGGTAGAGAGTTCTGGTACTGACACGTTGGGATCGGGTCGGGAGTTCTGGTACTGACACGTTGGGACCGGATCGGTAGTTCTGGTACTAGGAAAAGACGGATGACCAACTTGAGGAGAGTTTGGGAGTCAGAGACACCAATCGGAGGCTGGTGAACAGCTAATAGAGGGCGGGGGTCTGAACATATGCGGCTTCCTTGTGTTGGACATGATGATGAACTGCCAAATTTTATGTGTCGTTTTATTTAATTGTTCATTATTCAAACTAACAAGTAGAGCAACGGTGTAGCTATTCTTTTCTGTTTCTTAGTTGAATTAGCAGACTTCATGCTTCCAGGGCACACTGCTGCCCTCTGTTGGATCTTTCAGGTTACAGTCATAGTCCAAACGCATGGGCTGCATGGTGGCGCAGTGGTTAGCACTGTTGCCTCGCAGCACGAAGGTTGCAGGTTCGAAACTCGGCTGCGGCCTTTCTGCGTGGAGTTGCGTGTTCTCCCCATGCATGAGTGGGTTTCCTCCGGGTACTCCGGTTTCCCCCACAGATCACAACATGCCCTATAGGTTATAAACTGTAAGTCGCTTTGGATAAAAGCGTCTGCTAAAAAAGTAAACATAAACATAAACAAACGGTAACGTGGAGCTCGTATGTCCCTAAACAGCTACTGTATTTTAAGATGGCGGATGACCATGGAGCCTCAACCACAGTTTATATATTTAAAAATGTATAATTTCAAGTTGAGAGGGACATTTAGAATTGATGTTGGTGAGAAATATTAGTGAAAAAGGATACGTTTGTGAACTGGAAGCACAGACTTTATAGTAAACAGGTAAAAGATCACACACTGGGGCTTTAAAGAAGACCACTGAGTCCACTGGTCTCAGGCTCAGGGGGAGAGAGGTCCAGAGTCTGGGGGCCACAGCAGCAGATGATCTGCCACCTTTGACCTTTAGCCTGGTGCTGCACAACCAGTAGGCTTTGGTCACTGGACCTCAGGGACCTGCTGGGGGTGTAGGGACAGAGAAGATCACCAATGTAAGATGGTGCTTATCCATGTAAGGCCCTATAGACCAGAACCAGGATCTTGAAATGAACCCTGAAGTTGACTGGCAGCCAGTGAAGCTGGAGGAGAAGCGGGGTGATGTGGGTGTGTTTGGAGGACTTGGTCAGAAGCCGAGCACAGGCGTTCTGAACCACCTGTAGACGGTTCAGGGAGGTTCTGCTCAGACACGTGAAAAGAGAGTTACAGTAGTCTAAGCGTGAGGAGATGAAGGTGTGGAGAACTGTCTCAAGTTCAGAGCGGGACAGAATGGGACTCAGCTTAGTAATGTTCCTGAGATGGAAGAAGGAAGAGCGAACAAGAGAACTGACATGAGAATCCGGGACCAAGACATCAAGGTGAGGCTCCTTGGCATTGAGGGTCTCTGACAGGTGGTTTGATTGGCTCTGAAAGGCTAGCGGAATTTGCTGATCACGTGTTTTTCAAGACTATTGGCCAAATTTGATCGGTGGGGGATCAATCTGAACATCCCTAATCCCTACTCCCGTCATGGATTTGGTGTTACAAGATGATTATAGACTTAATTATAAAAGGCCTCCTCTGTCTGTGCTTCAAAACGCTCCAGGTTAGGCAAGCACGTTCAAATTGCAGCTGAAAACGTATGATTTTTCCTTGGTTTTTAACTCTTAAACCTGGTTCTAGCATTACGTCCACCAGCTTTTCTGCTTTCCATCTTGGCTGCTTAGTTTGAAAGCGGTTGTATTTTATGGTTCTACTTTGTTGTTTGGTTTTTATTGCT